GAAGAGAGACTAAAAGAGGATTTGTTGTTTATCTGAAATTCAAGTGGAACTGGGAACCCTGTATTTTATCTTGCAGTCCCTTGTAGAGAGGAGACCAATTCGATGCCCATGGGAAAGGTAATTTGTGGGCATCACACAGCAAGTCAGGTTAATTCCTTCCCAGTCCAGCTCTCTCCACTCCCACTTCCCAAGACATACTCATTCATCCATCAGTTTCCCATTTCAGGCAGATGTTGCTGGCTGGACTGGGTGTGTCTTGGACACGTTGTCTGTGTTGTAGAAGAGAAAAACTAGATGCCATCTAGTTGACTACAATTTCCCTCCCCATATGCACCACAGACCTCACAGCTCTCCATAATGCTTTTAGCTCACACATCTGTCAAGAGTTAACCTGACCCTCCAGCAGGTTTTCAGAGACTTGTAAGGCATCCAGTAGGAGACTGCCTATCTTCCTTCCTCCAGTGGAGCTGCTTGCTGGTGGGTTTGAATTTCCAGCTTCATACCTTGCCAGTAGGGGCTGATTTTTCAGAAGCAGATCACCAGCCCTTTCCTAACCTCTTATTTATCAGCCAAGAGTGTTAACTGCAGGGCACCATCCAGGGACACTATACACCCAGAGATACTGTACTGTGAAAAGCCACCCGCAGAGCATATGGGAAAGTAGGGGCAGGGTTGGGATTTGAGGGGACTCAGGTCTGAGGGAGTCCTGGTTTACTTTGAGTGGGCGTGGTAGTGGGACAGACTGCTCTGAGGCTGGATTTCTTAGCAAGTGAGCACACCTGAACCCATCTCCAAAGAAAGACCCCTACGCCATCTGAGATGAGCAATTTCTGAAAAGAATGTTGCTTAAGAACTAGGCACAGGTCGAGGTGACCCTGATTTCACTAGGACTCGCGAACTCTTGCGACTGGGAGACGTGAGAGGCCTCTCTGGCTTGTGTACAGCTGAAAACAGCACCCAGATTTCCCCATTCCACTCCCAAGAGATTCTGGGATAAGTCCCTGGCCCGGGCCCACAAACCAGAACCAAGAAGTCCGGACAATCCTACGCTGATTTACGGGAACTCACACCAGCGATCAATCATCCTTAATTTGTAACTGGGCCGTGTCCTGGGCCAGCCAATAGCTAGGACTAAGCCCCGACACCCCACCCTCACTGACCCCGCGGATCCATGCACGCAGTCCACACCGAGGCTGCCCACGGACCAGGAGCTGGGAGCAGGTTTGGAACCCGCAGGGTGCACAGAGTGAAGGCGTGTGTGGGAGGGGGTCTCCGGATGCCCGCTCCCCTCCCTGCCCACTTGGATCCCTGCAGGCCCTGAAGGCTGGCCTCCACCGGAGGCTTTGGCCTCTGCCTCCTCCTCCCACCACCCTTCCTCCCGGGGCGGGGGTCCCCAGCCCCCTCTGCACCTCCCCTCCTCCTCCTCCTGCTTCTGGCCTCATTGTTTGGCTAAAGCAGGACCCCCCAAGATTGAACAGATGGACGGAGACCCGGGCCCGCGGGGGAGAGGAAGGGCAGCGGGTGCCGGGAAAAGGGAGCGGTTTAGGGGAAAACAAAACCGGGGGAGGAGCCAGGAAGAAAGTGGCCCCGGGAGGGGGAAGGGGGCGCAGGCGGAGAGGGCCCGGGGCTGGGAGGGGATGGGGGCGGGCCCGGGGGCGCGGGGCGCCCAAGTTCCAAGCCGGCTCGGATGCGGGCTCCCTCCGCAGGTCCCCGCTGACGTCGCCGCCCAGATGGCCTCCCGGCTGACCCCGCTGACCCTCCTCCTGCTGCTGCTGCTGCCGCGGGTAAGTGGCCCCTTCCTGGGGTGGGGGCGGGGCGGGGGGATGGAGGGGGGCTGCCGGTTAACCCTTCAGGCCCCGGGGAGAGAGGAGAGCCGCTCTGTGCTCTCCAAGTTGACTGTGATCCTCGTGCCCGCATCGGTAAAGTGGAGGAAAGAGCGATGGCTCCAGTGAGCCGCGAGTTCGAATCCAGGCCCAGGCCGGCCGTGTGGCTCTGATCACGTTACCTCTCTGAGCCTAGTTGTTGTGATTTCTAAAATAGAGAATAAAGAGTCCCCACTCTGTCCATCAAACAGACTTGTCCACCAGATGCAATGGACCAAATAGTAGGAAGAAATGGATAATGTGCCTTTCTCAGTGGGCTTAGGCCGGGCCCTTGACGCTCAGCATTGCAGTGGTCGTGGGAGAAGCGTCCCGAGTCCATGTGTTTCTTTTCCTCCTACTTCTGTGAGATGCTGGCTGCCTGTCTAAAAGGTCTGAGCATCGATTTCTTTAAGAAATGAAGACAGTGGGTGACTGATAATGAGCCCGGGTACCGTTGATGCTGGTGGCTGGATAATGCATTGCCTTGTACATTACAGATGCTTTCTGTTTCTCTGATCCTTACTCACTAGATCCTGGTAGCATTCTACCTGGTTATGACAACCCAGGACACTAAACAGCACACCGAGAGGCACTGCGCCCACCTTGAGAACGTCTGTTGTTGTTGTTGTTATTGTGTACCTTGGAGTTGGAACCAACCATGACTGACCCTCCAATGGGTTTTCAGGGTTTTTCAAACCTCATGGGAAGAGATTGCCCATCTTTCTCCCACAGAGTGGCTGGTAATTCAAACCATATACTTTTGGGTTGGCAGCCCAACTCCTTGCCACTAAGCCATCAGAACTCCCTTAATTGTTTCTCTTCATGCTTCCCTTATTGTCAGTAATCATTAATGAGACACAACTGAAAATAAGGTCAGTTAAGACAAAACCCCACCTGCTGCCAGCCAGTCTTTCCCACTCAGAGGAACCCCGCAGGGCACAGTAGAATACCCCATAGAGTTTCCAAGGCTGTTCCACCTCATCTTTCTCTCTCAGAGTGGCTGGTGAGTTTGAACCACTGACTTCTTGGTTAGCAGTTGAATGCCTTGACTACAGCGCCCTTAGCAAGACAAGAAGATGTTTCAAGAAATGCCAAGAACGTCCCTAAATGGCAATTGTCGTTCATCTTTAGTGATTGGGAGACAACTTTCTGTTGGTCAGAGATAACAGAATCCCTGCCTACACATCCTTTTCAGGAATTATCCCAGGGTCATTCTTACTGTTGTTATGTGTCATCGAGTCAGAACTGACTCATCGCTGTCCCTCCAGCAGCTTGTCAGAGGCAGTAAATCAACATGGAAGATTGCCGTCTTTCTCCCTCGGAGGAACCTCGTGCATTTGAACCGCCTGTCTTTGGGTTGGCAGAGCAACTCCTCACCATTAGACCAGCAGAGCGCTCTCTCTATCCCTGCCTCAGAACCTGTGTATTACGCCCTCCCTGGAAGAAATGGTGATGACGGAGCTCTGGTGTCATAAAGAGTCACTCTGATAACCCAGAGTCATGCCTCTCTGGCGGTCCAAGGCCACCAGTGGCTCTTGGGAGAAAGATGGGATGTCTCTTCCCCTTCAGTTTACAGCCTCAGAAAACCCACTGGAGGGTCAGCTATGAGTCACTCCGGACTCCACAGAGTGAATTCTAGAGGACTTCATAGTGGTGGCTCCAGGACAGACCACCTACCCACCCATTTTTATAAGCTTTCCCGCTCTATGGAGTGTTTTTATCACCCCACTCTCTCTTCCTGTTTTAAGGGTTTATGCACCTCATGATAAGAAAAATGAAACTCAGTTTCTTGAACCACAGGATGGAATCTCCTCAAACTCAGATGGCACCAGCCACAGCTCTGGGGAGAGCGTGCAAGAGAGAAGCCAGAAGAACAGTGTGGGGACGGATAACAATGGCGGTCTAGCCGTCCAGCACACCAAAGACTCTTCTACGTTGCTAAGAATCCCTAAGTCAGACATCACCGTGACAGCCAGAACCAACGCCGAATCCCCCACCCAACCCTTCACTGAATATTCCACTCCACCCACCTCTCAGCCCACTGAGTACACTACTGAACATGACACAGTTGACACTACAACCACTGCCCAGCCCCCCGCAGATTTGGCCACTCTGGCCCCCACTCAGCCCTTCTGCCCGCTGGCTGCCTCTTCCTGCCCTGATGTGGAGAGAAATGCTGCAGATGCTATCCTGGCAGAGGCTTTGACAGACTTCTCCCTGAGGCTCTACCACGCCATCTCCTCAATGAAGAAGGCGGAGACCAACATGGCCTTTTCCCCGTTCAGCGTTGCCAGCCTGCTCACTCACGTCCTGCTGGGTAAGAACCAGACAGGATTCTCTTAAGCTGGATGTTCGTCACTCCCCTCTGAGGGCCACCGACCCAGGGTCCTTCCTCCTGGAATCTGTGCCTCAGGGGAAACAAAAAACCAAATGTGCTATCATCTAGTTGAGTCGATTCCTAGTCATGACTCTTCATGAGGTTCCCAAGGCTGTGAGTCTGCGGGAGCAGACTACCCATCTATCTTCCACTGAATCCACTTGGCAGATTCAAACCAGTGACCTCTTGATTAGCAACTTAACACGTTATGCACTTTTTCACCAGGGCTTCATCAAAAATGACCTACATATGAGAAGATATCCTTTCACTCTTTGTTATATACTGGTTTGGAAAAAAGATTTTAGCATAGTTGTGTTCAGATTCCTGAACATTCATTCAGTCCCTCATTTAATAATGATTTAATCTGCACCATTACTGGCAAGAGGAACTCTGGTAGCATATATGTAAGGTGTTGAACTATGACCCAAAGAGTCACTGGTTCAAAATACCTGCCACATCAAGGGAAAAAGATGGACAGACTCCTTCCATAAAGATTTACAGCTTCTGGACCTTGATGGAAGGTTGCTACATGTCAGCATCAACTTAAGGGTATGGGTTTAGATTTGGGTTTTTATTGCTTTTATGTTCCCTGTGTGGTACAAATGATTAATGGGCTCAACTGCTAAACAAGAGGTTGGAGGTTTGAGTCTATCCAAAGGCACTTGGGGAAAACGGCCTGGTGAACTTCTTCAACCCTTGAAAACCCTGTGGAGCACCATTCTACCCGTGGTGACACATGGGGTCACCATGAATTGGAATGGATTTGATGGCAGCTAGTTCAGTAACTAAGCAATCGCTTGTAAAATTCTGTGGATTAGGAAAGAGTATTCAAAGCAAGGTTCCAGCCAACAGCCGTATTCAGGGAAGGGTGCTGGAGGCAGTGAAACCATCAGAAGATCTTGATATACCCCACTTCCTAGCTGTGTGTCCTTGAATAGGTCACTGAACCTTTCTGAGCTTCAGTCCTATAAAATGGAAACAGTGATATCTACCTGAAAAACATGTTACATGCCTGTGATGAGGCTTATATTGGTAGGGACATCTGAAATTTAATGAATGTCAATTGCTCTGATGATGGGGGAAGGAAAGAAAAAATAAAAAATCTCAACTTGTTGTAAAGTAGATAGCCTGGTTCCCTGGGCTAATCTCTGCCTTTCTTGAGGGAGCACTACAAAGCTTGGTTGGACAGGAAAGGAGGGAGCAGGACTTGCCCTAGGAATGGAACAAACTGTTAGAAGCAGAGGAGTGACTTCTCGCTCCTCAGTGGAGAATCTGGGGTCAGGCTGCTAGAGGCAAGCAATTAAAAGCTTTTCTTCTGAAGTCTCAGAATCGTACCCTTGCCCTCTACCTCCTAAGTGCCAGTGGCACCCAGCCCTATTCCAGATGTGACAGTCATCATGGCTCTAGACATAGTCAATTGTTCCCTGAAAGGCAAATTTCCGTTCATTGGTTTCCATTTAATTTCTTTATTGCCCAAAAGGTATGTATCTGTATCCTGTGTCCATCTTCTGCCTGTTAGCCATATCACCTTCAATTGACCAGTTTCCCCAACCTCTGAAACGTCAGTTTCCTGATTTGTATAATATCAAAACCAAACCAGATCCACTGGCATTAAATTAGGCCTAACTCATCATTACCTTCCATTAATTTTTTGGGCTGTAAAGCTCTCTGAGAAGAGACTACTACATCTTTCTCCTGAGAAGTGGTGGTGAGATTTGAACCACTGGCCTCTTGATTATCAACACAATATAATTGTACTATTGCCATTGATGAGCATATGTACAAGATTGTTTTGATGATTCAGTGAGATCACACGGGAGAATATAAGATGCCTGAAACATATATGTGCCCAGGGCGTGCTAGTTATTGCATGGAAAAGGTGTATGATAAATAAGAATGAGTGGATAACTGAGAGGGTGTTGAATATCTTTCTTGGTAATTCTCTGATTTCTCCTTTAAATAGTGGGGTATCCCTGCCTTTATGGTGAGCTTTTGTAAATCCACCCCAACTAAAGACTAATTAATATGAAATAGCAAGTATGTGGACCAAGGTTGAGTGTAATTGGAATAAGAAAAAGGAGAGGACTATATATTCAAAGCCTTGAGGAAAAGAATCTGAAATTGGTCATAGTTACTCAGCCTTTTGTTTCTGAGATCAGTTGATCTGTCTATCTATATATCTAGTTGTCCAAAAGTATACTTCCAGTTCTGATGCTCTGTGACTATTTCTTCAGTAGGGAATAACTCCCCATTCCACACTGGTCTCCTGCAGCACTGCTCTTAAAAGGTAAGTTGCCACTCCCCTTGCAGCGTCCCCTCATGTTGGTCCTTTGTTGTAGGGGCCGGAAACAGCACCAAGAGAAACCTGGAGACCCTCCTCTCATATCCTAAGGACTTCCACTGTGTCCACCAAGCCCTGAAGACCTTCACGTCCAAAGGTGTCACTTCAGTCTCTCAGATCTTCCACAGCCCAGGTATGTGCCACCGAAAGCCATCAGCTGCTAAGAAGGATCTTGAGAAGATTGGGTTTGGGGTAAAGTGCCAGGAAAAAAGAGAGCAGAAAGAAAACTGGAGCTGGAATGTCAGGGGTGGAGTACAGAGTGGGTGAAAGTCTTAGAATAATCCTCCTGTGGAAATTCTGAGTGAGAAATTTATGTGCATCAACTAATCTTCTAATCTTGTTTTATTTATTTTTTTCATTTAAATGAATGCCTACAAATCATACTGAATTTTCATTCAATCATTCATTGACATTTTATAACATTAATTACTATTGATCAATGCAATTGATAGTTACAGTGTCTAAATCAATCCTTTATGGTCATATTTTAGTCTGAGAATGTACTTACGCATTTGTAAGGTCCCTGAAGGTCACAGATGATTTATGTTTGATTTGTTGACCTGCTTTGATAAATATTATAAAACAAACAAATTCCAAAACGTGAAAAAAAAACCCAAACAAACAAACAAAAAAACCAAATCACTACCATAAGTGGATTTCGACCCATGGCTCCCTTCCATCAGTTTCCATGGTGGCAGATCTTTATGGAAAGAGATGGCCTTATCTTTCTCTCACAGAGTGGCTTGTGGATTCGAACCACTGACCTCTCAGTGAGCAACCCGGTTTGCATATGTTACAAGACCAGAGCCAAATACCCTGTGGAGCAGTTTTTTTGTAGCACATGGAGGGGACATGAGTTGAAAGTCACTTTTTGTTAATGGATTCGGTTGTTTAATGCATTTGTAGACAGAGCTAGAGGACTCTAAAGCTATAAACACAAAATAGACAAGAAGTAAAAGAAAGGAAAAGATGCTAACAAATGTTAGGTCTGGTGGCCTAGTAGTAAAAACTGCACTGTAATCCCAAAGGCATACAGTTCAAATTCATCAGCTGCTCCGTGAGAGAAGGAGGATGGGCAGTCTCTTCCCATGTGATTTATTATCTTTGAAAACCCTCCAGAGGGTAAACCATGGCTTTGTTCTGACTTAACAGCACATCACAACAGTAACAATGCTAGGAAAAGCAATTTCTTGGAAAAAGACATCGTACTTGGACAGGTGGAGGGCAGACAGAGAGGAAGACTCTCAACAAGATAGATTGACACAGTGACTGCAGCAATGAGCTCGTGTATGTCAGAGATGATGAGGCTGGCACAGGATAGAACAGGCATCAAATCTGTTATTCATAGGGTCACTATGAGTCATACTTGCCTAGACAGCACCTAAAAACAACAACAATCATTACATCATGGTGATTTGAAGACTCTACTTTTGTGTTATATTAAATATCTATCCTTTACATGTGCTAGAGTCTTCCTGGGGTAGTGGTTAAAGAATTTGGCTGCTAACCAAAAGGTTGACAGTTCAAAATCACTAGTAGTTTCTCAGGGGAAAGATCTTCAACTTTTCAGCCTTGGAAATCATAATGGGCAGTTCTCTTTTGTACTACAGGGTTTCTATGTGTTGGAACAGACTCAATGACATTAGTTTTGGTTTTGATCTTAACAGGTACTACTTTTAAATTGTTTATTGTGTACTGTCGAATAGGAAGTGACTCATAGCTGATCCTCCAATGAGTTTTCGGAGACAGTAAACCACACAGGAGGAGATTAACCATCTTTTTCCTGCAGAGAAGCTGGTGGGATTCAAGCTGTGTACTTTTGCATTTTTAGTTGTAGTTGGTCAAACATTTTTCTAAGTAGTATATAGCATGAATCTCTCAATTTACTCTACAGAGGTAACTCGTGGTGGCTGTGATGCTGAATACTGTGACACTGATGTGTCAAATGTAATAATAGTTACCCATGGTGGACAGTGTTTGGCGGAACTCCCCGATTACAACAAGCTTGGAAGCAGGAGTGGCATCCACTTGTGAAATGATTGCCTATGGAAACTCTATGAGCTTGGAGAAAGGATGAAAGTTATACAGGTGTTCAGGTCTTTCATTTATAGGGTCGCTGTGAGTCGTCTATGACTTGATCACACTTAACAACAACTTTTGCGTTTGCAGCATCATTTCCTACCATTAAGTCACCAGTCAACATAGAGAGAGTTGGCCTAGTGGACAGAAAGTGATGCTACCAAGCCAAAGATCCATGACCCTCAGGCCTGTTTTTAATTGTTTTTGGTCAAACATTCTTTTGGTCATATAGCCCTGGTCTGTACACTTGCCATACAGAAGTAACTCTTGGTTGCTGTGTTGCTGATCACTGTGACACTGATGTGACTAATGTGATAATGGTTACTCATGGAGATAGTGTTTGGTGGAGCTCCCTGATTAAAACAAGCTTGGAAGTAGGAGTGGCATCCACTTCCAAAACACCTTGCCTCCAGAAACCCTATGAACCTGGAGAGAGGATGAAACCTATATAAGTGCTCAGGTCTTTCATTCATAGGGTGGCTATGAGTCGCCTAAGACTCAACGGCACTTAACAACAACAACAAGTCACCAGTGCTTGCTTCATTAATTAGCTAATCATTGTAAAGGAAATAGTAAACTTCCAAAATTATCTAGTGCAGTTGTTATTTTTTTTT